TTGCCTTACCTCAGTCAGAGCAACACTGTCAAAATGAATTAAGAGCAGTGTAAATTTCCCCCGGAACAGGAAAGCACATTCATATCTAGGAAAAGGAAATACTGAGAACATAGCTAAAGCCAATTAGAATCGTGAACAGAACTGAGAAGAATCAATATTAAACTCGGCACGAAATCCCTGAGCACCAGAGAACTGCATGGTGCTGGGGAAAGTCCCCAAAGATTACACTAACACTAACTGGCCTTGATTCTGGAAGGACTGTCACTGGATCAAATAAAAGAAAGCACCACTCTACATCATAAATCACAAACCTCAAGGACAATTTTCTGCCCCAGATAGAAGACATGGATCAAAAAATGTTCTGTTTTGTGTGTGTGTATAATGCATTTATAATGCATTTATATCAATCCATACTTAAATATCGTCCATGATCCTAAAAGAGAAGATAGACTCAGAGAGATCAGTAGATTTACTGCTTTCCTTCACATAATATTGTAAAATTTAGAGTTCATTTATTGAGAGACCTGATACCGTGCAAAAAAAAGGGAGTCACTTTGGCCCACTGATACGTATTGGGGGGCTCACTCCTTCCCAGCGATGGCCTTTGCAAAGTTGCATGAGTTCATTCAGAGTGCTCCTCTTTCTCTGGGACTGTTCTACACAGTAGTGTCACAATGAGTCATCTCATCTAAATAATGATGGGCATTAGAGATACCTCTTCTGTTACTGCTATCTCTTCACATTCAGACCAAGCATTTCCAGATCCTTAAACTTTTTTCTCAGATGGGATGCTTTCCAGATTCCTCGTGGTTTTGCGCAAGGCTGTAGACGTTGTCATTTGAGTTAAAAAATGCACCCCTGTCATATCCCTAGTACCGAAGGCTGGCTGTCATGTGAACAACGGGCTCATATTCTTTCAAATTTGATAATTCAAGGAAGCACAGCGACTTGGCCTTTGATGAATCACTTGTGTGTTGGCCCCATGTCCCTATCAAACTTGCTTTTGTCTCCAGGCAGATTTGAACTAACTTAGCTTGATGTCTGTATCACAGTAACTTTATTTAAGATGAGCAGCCTTTGGATTTGATAAGCAAGGGAAGCAGATCCAATGAAGGATTTCCAAGGTGCCGGTGGAGTCCTGTGTACCTGTGTGTGTGTGTACTTTGTAGCACGTGTGAGTGTGTAGGTTTGTGTATGTGGGTGTGTGTGCACACAGTACTATGCAGGAAGATGCTGCAGTTTGGGGGGGTTCTTTTTTTAAAAAAAATTTTCTTTCTTATTGATTTTTAGAGAGGAAGGGAGAGGGAGAGATATTGATGAGTGAGAACATCGATTGGCCGCCTCCTGCATGTCCCCCACTGGGGACCAGGCCCACAACCTGGGCTTGTGCCCTGACCAAGAATTGAACTGGTGACCTCCTGGTGCATGGGGTCAATGCTCAACCACTGAGCCACACTGGCTGGGCAGGGGGTTCCTTTCTGGAAAAATTAAGAAGTGAATCTTGATTCCTGTGCTTTGTTTCACTTAATATATAAGGTGAATGAAAGACAAAAGATGACATGCACATAAAAAGTGATGAAAAAGAATGAAAATATGTGTCTGCATGGCAACGTTTGCTTGATGGACAGAGGTACAGTTGGAGAGCTTCCCCATCTTCCTGAAGGAACAGCACAGAAAGCACTAATGGTTCACCACTGATAACAAAAACCCTTATATTTTTATGGCACAAGAGACAGTTTTTAAAATATTCATGAACTTTCTTGACCACACAGCACAGAATATAGTAGTGGAATATTTCTCTAATACACGAGCATCTTTATATATCAATTTTATCTCCCAAGGGTGCTCCTGCCCAAAACCCCAAACTATAAAACTATCTAGTTAAAATGGATTGCGTTGAGCTTCCAGTCAAGACGGTGGGTAAGTAAACGCGGTATCGCGTCCTCCCACAACCACATCAAAGTTACAACTAAACTACAGAACAACCATCATTCAAAACTGCCTGAAATCGAGCTGAATGGAAGTCCTACAACTACGGAATTAAAGCAGCAGCCACATCGAGACTGGTAGGAGGGTCAGAGGTGGATGGGCTGGGCCCACACCCATGTGTGGCAGATAAAAATCAGGAGGATACCTCAGCTGGGAAGGTCCTCCCTGAGGACTGAGGGGTCCCCGTCCACACCAGGTGCCCCGTTCAGGGTTCCAGTGCCAGGAAGAGAATCCCCATCATTTCTGGCTGGAAAAACCAGCGGGAACTGGGGCTCAGGGAGGCTGAGGCGGCTGGAGCCCCAGGCAGCTCCTTAAAGGGCCCGCGCACGGACTTACCGGACTCTCTCCCTCTAAGCTTGGAGGGGAGGCAGCTCGAGGGACGCCAGGGACATACAAGGAAGAACTGAGCTGTTTGGCGCTGGAGAGGAGGCTTTCTCCAGGACAAATGTGCTGTCAGTGGCCTTTGTTCCTTTGGTGAGCCCTTCCCTTGGGCGGCAGACAGCCGCTATATCTGAGACTCTAGCAACCTGGCTCACACTGGTAGCCCCGCCCTGCTGACTCTCTGAGGCCCCGCCCCATCCAGCTTTCAGGCCCACCGAAGCTGTTGCCAGTTGCTTAACCACAGGATTGGCCTGACTTGGATCCTCCTTCAGGTGTTCCTAAATTCTTTCAAACAAGCAACATCTGGTCTCAGCTAGCCCGATACTTCTCATTAAGTAACACATAGAAACAAACACAGGGAGGCAGCCAAAATGAGGAGACAAAGAAACAGGTCCCAAATGAAAGAACAGAATAAAACCCCAGGAAAAGAACTAAGCGAAATGGAGATAAGCAACCTAACAGATGCAGAGTTCAAATCACTGCTTATAAGGATGCTCAATGAACTTAGTGAGAATCTCAGTGAACTTAGTGAGGGCCTCAAGAGCATAAAAAAAGACCAGTCAGAAATGAAGGAGGCACTAACTGAAATAAAGAATAATTTACACAGATTCAATAATAGAGTAGGTAAAGCCAAGAAGCAAACCATCGATTTGGAATATAAGGAAGCAAAAAACGCCCATTCAGAACAGCAAAAAGAAAAAAGAATCCAAAAAAATGAGGATAGTGTAAGGAGCCTTTGGGACAACTTCAAGCATGCCAACATTCACATCATAGGGGTGCCAGAAGGAGAAGAGAGAGAACAAAAAATCGAAAACCTATTTGAAACAATAATGGCAGAAAACTTTCCTAACTTGGTGAAGGAAACAGACATACAAGTCCAGGAAGCACAGAGAGTCCCAAACAAGATGAACCCCAAGAGGCCCACACCAAGACACATTATCAAAATGCAAAAGGTTCAAGACAAAGAGAGAATCTTAAAAGTAGCAAGAGAAAAGCAGTTGGTTACATACAAGGGAGTTCCCATATGACTGTCAGCTGATTTCTCAAAAGAAACTTTGCAGGCCAGAAGGGAGTGGCAAGAAATATTCAGAGTGATGAAAAGGAAGAACCTACAACCAAGATTACTCTATCCTGCAAAGCTGTCATTTAGAATTGATGGCCATAAAAAGAGTTTCCCAGACAAGAAAAAGTTCAAGGAGTTCATCACCACCAAACCATTATTATATGAAATGTTGAAGGGTGTTTTTGAAGAAAAAGATAAAATGTATGAACAAACAAAATGGCAATGAATATATATCTATCGACAATTGAATCTACAAATAAAATGAACAGGCAGAACAGAAACATTGTAATAGATACAGAGAAAATTTTGTTGGTTGCCAGATGGGAGGAGGGTTAGGGGAATGGGTGAAAAAGGTGAAGGGATTAAGAAGTACAAATTGATTGCTAGATTTACAAACCTCAAAGGGAAGGGGGTTGGGGGGTGGGAAGAAATAAACCAAAGAACTTATATGCATAACCAATGTACACAGACAACAGTGTGGGAAAAGGTAGGAGGGGGACGGGAGTGGAGAGGAAGGGGTTAATGGGGGGGGGGGGAAATGAGGAACATCTGTAATACATTCAACGATTAAAATTAAAAAAAAATTGATGGAAAAAAAATGGGTTGCATTACCAAAATTTTATATTAGGAAAACTGAAATGAAGTCTCTATTGTTTGTATAAACATTAAAGTGCTTTCTTAGCTGTTTTTCAGATCCTAATTTATAATACATGTATTTGAGACTAAGAAAATTTCAAATGATAATTATTAACAAGTCACCATGCCCTGAACCCAATTTTTCTTTTCACTCAGTATTTTGAAAATATTAATTATGCCAGCACACGTATGGCCATCTGAAATAACTGAGGGGAAAGCAAATGTATGCAAGAAATAAATGCTATTTTTCTGACAGTTGATATTTTATAGAGGATTGAATATATAATGCTCAGCATCGTGGCTGATTTGTCTGGTTTATGTCTATGGTGACTTTGACATTGTATTTGACACCTTCCTCTCCTCTCCTGATCTGTGTATATTTCAAAATGAGCCTAAATAAGTGAAGAAGGTAAAGTGTCCATGACTGTGGTTTCCAAATCTAGTCAAGGCCAAGTGAAGCGCTTGTGAACAGTAAAGGTTCAGGCCCCGCCCCTTAAGATTTTGATGCAGTTCATCTGGGTAGTTTCGCTCAAACTGAATTCTCCGGCATTAGGTTGATCCATGCGATGTGGACAAAGACTGGGAAAACACCAACTCAAAATTTTTCCACAGATGCCTATTAATGACTGTTTTGGCATTATTGCTGTTTTGAATTATTCATACCACTCATTGCAACCACTGATACAAAAAATCAAAATAATTATATTTGACATTTGAACTATGTCTTTAAATTTAAAAGTAACTGCTTCTCTCCACAAAACTTCAGTATTTTACCCAATTCTCTCTCCTTTTCTCTCTCTCTCTCTCTCTCTCTCTCTCTCTCTCTCTCTGTCTCTGTCTCTCGTCATAATTCACTTAAAATATATAATGCAACTAATTTTTTTCTTATGTTAGTCTTCAGATTAATTATGTTTTTATTTTTTGTTTGCAGGGTGCAAGTTGAATTCTATATGAATGAAAACACATTTAAGGAGAGACTAAAGTTATTTTTTATTAAAAACCAGAGATCAAGTAAGTCATTCATTTTATTCTCCCACCTGTGTGCTTGTACATATGTTTACCTCGAACAATTCCAGTACAATCCTTCTGCAAAATAGCATTTAAACAGAGGAATACAATTGATAATCTTGTCTGCCAGGCAGTAAAATTACAGAAAACTATAGATTTTATATCTGTTGCTGTTAAGATGTCTTGAATGCCTTTAGTTTTCCAAATCCCCCACCAATAAGTGGTCTCCTAAGTGAGCCATCGGGGCCAGTAGACACATTGGGGAAATGATTTAAATGAGGGATTGTCATGGTTGTTCTGTGAGGGCACCTAAAGCTTATTATGAGAGAGCTCTTGTGAGCCTGAGTGATTCTAACAGGGATGATAATTGTCTGATTTCACGGGGGAAGACTTCAGTGCCTCCCGATGGTGCCCGATAGCAGAGAAACTCGAGTGTGTTCTGAGAGGGACAGAGGCACAGACTACCAGCACCCTTCTCTGGAGAATGCCAAACCAGATGTGGGGAGCTGGGCTCTGAGTTTCACATCTGCATGGTTCTTATCATCGGACAAATCTGGGAAGCGCTGGACCGCCAAGAGCAAGTGAAATGGGCAGAGTCACTCAACTTGTTCAAGGTTGAAGTCACAAGCGATTCCTCCTGCCTCCCCATAGTACCACGGATTTTTTTAAAGGCACATATAATGAGCCGAGATGCAGTTTTTCATATGATCATTGCTTAAAATGCCAGCCATCAGTGGGGAGGTCTATATTACATTGGTACAGACTTTGCTCTGTCTGCATGTGGACCCCTGAATACTCTTGGGGTGGTCTTTGTAGGGTCCAAACAGGACAGTCTAAGTGGTGAGAAAGTACCCAGATGCTGACGACAGGGAATATTTCAGGGTTTAAGGAACACTGGTGAGAGATTTAATGGTAGGTGAGCTTCAGGGTTAAGGCTAATGATAACTAATGCCTCTCTCGTCTGATGGTTTAGCATTTCCATGGAAACCCTACCAATAAAATCCCCTAAAGGGGCCACGTCTTCCGAAGACAAGGTTTCCTCCCTTTTAATACTAACAATCCTCTCTCTCCAGGCTAAAAGAGATGAAAGCATCATTCCACTATTTGACTGGCAGCCAGATTTGACAAAACAGTCATTTGGGGAGACATGTTCTATAAAACCAGGACCATTTCGTTAATAATTTAAAAGACTTTCTAAAGACGCTAACCCCTAAAATGTACACAGCATTGTAACAGAAAAGCCTAGGGAAATGGCACAATTAATAGGCATTAACCTTTTACTGTTAAGAAATGTCACCTTAAGTACACTCACATATAGTGGAGTAAAACAATGACTTTTCATTTCCAGATTTTGTGAACTAATAATGGTAGGAAGGCCTTTCTCTCAATTTTATTCATGATGCATGGAGCCCCTGCCCGACAGATTCAGAAAAGGCCTTGCTCTTATTGATCAGACTTGAAGCGTGTTTTGCTGAGTCATAATTGCTCTTTCGCATCATCATTAAGTATTGCAGACAGCATAGCTATGACCTATATGGTTTCGAAGGGTACACACACCAATCTTAATCCCCCCCAGAATATTAAGACTTCATTGGTATTTAACCTAAAGTGAAAAGTAAGTGTGTGTGTATTTCCCATAATACTTTATTATGACTTCTCTATTATCATGTAATTACCTTTTTGTTTTTGGTATATGCCCCTAGCAGAAACTGAACCCGGGACTCTCTGGTCCTCAGGTCAATGCTCCAACCACACTGAGCCAAACCGGCCAGGGCATGTAATTACCAATTAAAAGTATAATATATAATTATAGACATGATTATGATTTCTCTGTCATTAAAATCTGCCCGGTATTCTGAAGGTACAAGATTTACAACTTACTCTGTGAAGGTGTGAGTAGCTAGATTTTCTAGCTGGCTAAAATTACCCCACATTCACAGATGTGTAAAACCCTTGAACTTCTAAGCCTCTTTGAACTAATCTCGACGGGCCAGACCGAGTCTCATGTTTCTCTGCAGTTCAAGTATTCTGCCAGTCTCTGTAAATACTCAGCTAATTAACTTCCAGCTACCTTGAACTTCAGAGAGTTTAGACAGTTATGGCATTGTAGTTTCTAATTACAATTTAAGCGCTGTACTTAAAGTTGATATTTTTGACAATTCTTTTGGTCTCTTTTCTGTGGACTAAGTTCAAATAAAAATCAAATTTCTGTTGTTTGTTTAAAGGTCTAAGAATACGCCTGTTCAATTTTTCTCTCAAATTATTAAGCTGCTTATTATACATAATCCGAGTGCTACTAGAAAACCCTGCACAAGGAAATGAATGGTAAAGTATTTCTGTCTGACCCTCAACAATTAATTGCTTTGAATTGTATTATAATTTTAAAGGATGTTACTATAAAATTAAATTTTCCCCCAAGGATGTTTGAGGTGTTTGTTGAATGAAATTGATCTGCTTTTTGGGCAGTAGATGAATATCACTTTTGTAAGTTTTTTTAAAGCATTTCTGCTTATATTCTCTGTCTATTCCTCTCATGCTAATGGACATCTAACCATAAAGTTTTTACTGCTAATCAAAACACTGTAAGTCATAGTCTAATATGGGTTTGTCTCTTGAAACACCCGATACATTTCTGCTCTTTATTGACATAGATTACTTTACTGTCTACCAGATTTGTAAGTATTTTCAGTGACAGTCTAGCTGTTTGAACAGAACCACTCCTGCATCTACGAGGGCACACGACTATGTCAAGTTCAGAGTTAGCTTGTGGAGTTCTTTATCTTGCTTGAGTTAAATGGCTTATTGATGTAGCTTATTCTTTATTCATGATCATATTGCTTTTATTAATTGCATTGCTATACACTGACGGACACTTTTAGTCTCTAGTTTCATTGGAAGCAGCCAGGGAGGGGACTGGGTATCCAGTGAAATCAATCATTTTGATCTGATTACCACCTTAGGCCCCTGTCCAGCTACTAAATTTAACATGATTTTCCAAGCACAAACAAATTTGATGGCTAACTGCTGTACTTTTCCCCTGTGGAGGTTTTCCCTAAGAAAATTTTAAAAATGTAAAAGTGGAAAGTAAAATAGAAAAGGAGGGTATGCGAAGCATAGACACAAATCGTTGACTTCAGTTCGACTAGACAGCGAAAAGGAGTCTGTATTTGGAAAGGGTTTGGAGATAAGTTCAAGCTTAACGGGTGCAATTTTCCTGTGTAATAATTGATGCGGTAATTCTTTAGGAACTAATTTGTCCACTGGAAGAGCATTATGGGTACTTCATCATATCTTTGTTGGATCCTTAGCCTGCATTTCTCTTACTGTATGTGGAGACAGAGCCACGAACAGGAACGTTTGCTACCCTCAGGGAATTTTCGATCTGTGAGCAGGTTGTATGTTCTGGGGTTCTCGCTCTTGCTGCCATTGGACAGCTGTTGAATGTGTCTTGTTTCCTCCGGAACACACCTGACCCCTGATCCTATTCCCCACTTTCTCACGGTGGCCCCCCTCTGGGTGTCCTGAGCACTAATCTTTCTTTAAAGTTAAGCAGAAATATATATATGTATCATTTACATTCAGTATTATTTTGCATTAATGTATGTGGTTAGACAGTCATGCACTATATAGCAGGTCCCCCCCATATTTCCAGCACCCCCCTGGCCTCGTACAGGGTACTGAACGTTCTATGCTTCTTATGACCGCTGAACCCACTGGTCACATCTAACTGCGGAGTCCCTTGTCCACTTGGTTGTCATTTCAACCGGCCGCGCTCCGGTCAGCTTCCTCTGCGCGCTCCCACAAACCGATGAATGACAGCTCTGTCCTTGTCCAGCCCTGCCCGGTGGCAGCCCTGTCCTGGCAGCTGTCGGGCCGAATGCCTCAGAGTCTTCCTCACCTCCTCTTTTGGCCCTGAGCGCTGCAGCCTCCCACGCCCCTGAGAGAATGCTGCTCTTCCTGCCTCCACGATGTGTCCAGCCTCGGGTCACTTCTCAAGGTCACCGCCCTGCACAGGCCGCCTTCCCCCAGCGCATGTCCGCAATCGCCCTCCTAACCAGGCCTCTGGTTCCGCCTTCGCTCCCTCTAGTGTATTCTGAACGTAGCCGCCAGGGCCCTTGAAGATGTAAGTCAGATGCCCCGACAGCCACAGTGCCCACCGTGGCCCAAAGAACCGCCACGTCCCCCGGGACTTCGCCGTCCAGCGTCACCCTGCACCTGTTCTGCTGCCGCACCGGCCTCCTGCTGCCGGGACCTCCCCAGACACGAGGCCGGCTCCGGGCCCTCCCACCTGCCGCTCCTTCTGGAAACCTCTCCCTCCGGGTAACACAGAGCTCACTGCCTCGGATCTGCACTCAAACCCTAGTTTCAGGAAGCCCTGTCTGCACATCCAGTTTAGGGTTGTAGTGTCCTCATCATACTCTTGAGCAATTTTGTCTTGTTCCACTTACCCTTCTCCCTGTGGGCCTCGCACCTGTGTGGCTTCTGCGTGTTCCCCGGGGGTGCCCTGGCGCTGGTCGGGGGCAGAGGCTGTTGTCTGAGTCACTCAGGCCCTGGGCAGTCGTTTGTCAAAGCGATGAGTGGTCACGGATCAGTGGGGGTCCGTGAACTCTGGCCTCGGCCTCTCCTGCCCGCCTCCCCTCCAGCCATGCTGACCTGCCTGAGGCCGCTTACACGAACTCTGCCCCCATTGTTTCTGGGCCACAAACGTTCTGCTCTTACTCCCGGGACCTCTGTTTCCCACCTCTGCCCCCACCAAGCTTTAGGACTCCCGGACCTTCAAGGTAACAATTCCCTGGATAACACTTAGTCTGACATTCTTCCCTGACATCATCACGTATATAGGGCCCGGTTCTCACATGGGGTAGAAGGGACTTCCAGGCATTCTGCAAACATCCCTGAGTACTTCTGTCATGACACCTAACACATCGACGCGGATTTTACTACACTTCACCCTGGATAACATGGGAGGTGGGGAGCCACCCTCACCACCTCCCCTGCATAGTTGAAAATTCACCTAGAATTTTCGACTCCCCCATAACTTAGCTACCAGTAGCCTACTGTTGACTGTTACGATCCCATACACAGCCATGAACGCCTATTTGATATGTTATATGTACTATACACTATTCTTACGACAAAGTAAGCTAGAGAAAATGTTCTTAAGACAATCCCAGGAATGAAAAAATACATTTACAGTATTCACTGAAAGAAAATCCACTTAGCTCTGGCCCAGTAGCTCAGTTGCTTAGGGAGTTGCCCTGATATGCCAAGATTTCAGGTTTGATCCCTGGTTGGGGCACATATGGGAATGAACCAATGAAGACTCAGATAAGTGGAACAACAAACCAATGTTTCTCTCTATCTCTCCCTCCCCCTTCCTCTCTCTTTCTAAAAAAAGTCAACAAATTTAAAAAGAAAGAAATCTTCCTATAAGTGGTTCAACCCCATGTTGTTCAAAGGCCAACTGTACTTATTTCTCTGTTCTCTCCACCCCCATTGAGGGCAGAGGTCCTGTTGCATTCGCCCCTGGCGCTGTCACACTTAGAGCAGGATTTGCTGGGCCAGTGACTGTTGCTGAGCTAATGGGATTATGCTCCGCAGTTTTATTGATACTGTTACACTATGGAGTTGGCTGAAGACCACCTCCTAGAGGCGTCAGTGTGTATTACATTTATTACTCGTTTCTGCCTATGTGTGATCGACAATGATTCACATGACACATTCTTTTAAAACCTTACTGGAACTGTTTATATAACTTGGTGATTTATGAATGACATGCACATTAGAAAGACCTGAAAATCACAAATTGGGTCCCAGTAGGTCCCTTCCAAGGGCGAAAAGGCACAGGAGGGTGAAGGAGAGTGAAATCGTATTACTTGAAAACATTAAGAGGAACAAAGTTTCCTACAATTAACTCTATGACATATTCCTAAGAATATTTAGCCATAATTATAGAGGATATACATTTGACAAATCAGATTACTGCAATTAACCAACAACCAAAATAACTCATGTCTCCATTTTGAATCCAATGTTCCGCCGGGTCCCCACTGTCAAAACAGGACTGGTTAATGAAAAACAGAAGTGGCCTTTATGGGCACAGGCTCTATTTAAAAATAATGAGGCTAATTCAGCAAGGAGATTTATCTAATTAGACATAATAAAGCTGAGGATATTTTCTGCTCCCTTTAGGAGTCGGAACTGATAAGAAAATGTTGCATGTATAGACACACTGGAAGCTTTGAAAGGGATCTCGGAGTCCATGTCTGCAGTTGTGCAAATGACAGACAGGTGCCATTTATGGTAAATGATGCAGGGGCGTTAGCAAAGGAAATGACACTCCCAGCAGGTGGTGTGTGACTTTCACCAAGAGATGAGCCATCAGTGTTCACTCCCTGGTACATCTACTTCTTCACTGTGGGTCAGGACTCCAGCATCCTTTCCACTTGAAAACTGCTGAAGCGACTATTTGTTGTTAGCATCAGGCGATAGACACAAAACACAGGAAGCCCGTGAGGGTGCTTGTATTTCATGGTACAAGGATCTGCATTTAAAATCAGTGCTTAACATAGCAACACACATGTTCAGGTGATACACACATTTTTAAGATGATTTCTCCTTCAGGGTAACACGTCTCAAAAGAAAACTACATTTCTGACAATAACGTTTGAAATGTTTGATGACCAGGAGGAAGAAATAGCGTCATGTAGACCTTTCATTTTTCTCAGGGCCGGGCGGACCCCACAGGCAAGGAGCTGCAGCTGGGGACACCAGACGATGCACAGGACTGTGCTTTATGATGGACACTGTTGTCCCTGAATTCTCTCTATTTTTCTTTCTCATTTTTGCTCCACACCTCCAACCCCCTTCCAACTCCCTCCTTCTAGAACTATCTGCCTTCTCTCTATCTTTGAGTCTATTTGCTTGTTAATTTTGTCTATTTGTTTGTTTATTACATTAAGATGGGACTTTTTCCATGGAGGGATGGAAGGAGATGAGACCTTGGAGGGGGACTCCCTTAATGTTACACCATCAGCAAAGCTTTCCATGAGACCTCATCCTCCCGTGGGGGCCTCAGGAAATTCTTGTTCCTGTGGTACCCCAAGAGCTCCACTTCCCCCAGCCATAGGTGGGGACACATGGGACACCCCACTGATAACACTTGGATCACGTGGAAACCTCTGAGAAGTTCTCTCTGAGAGAGGGTTGAGCTGAGAATCTTAGGATAAGTCGAGGGCTGAGACAGGAAGGAGATGTCCTAGTTGAAGAAGTCTCAGAATGTCATGTTAAAAGAGTTTCTGGTGTCAGAAGAAGACGTGACTCGGGGCGGTGGGCACACAGTACAATGTACAGATGATGTATCACAGAATGGTACACTTGAAATCTATATAATTTTATTAGCCCATGCCACCCCAATACATTTAATTTAAAAATAAGAGTTTTGGTTTTTGTCTTCACCAAAGTACCATGTCACTACCCAGTGTGGCCACGTGAGCAAAGAATCGGAATAATTGTAATTTGGAGGAAAATGAAGAAGACAAGGAAGCGTAGGGTCCCATTGGGATGGCTTTTGTAAGAGTCCAAAAGACATGCAGAAAATGGTAGTTGAGATGAAGGTGGTTGGGAGTGTGGAGATGAAGACAGGTGGGTAAATTCCAGGCTAGTTGGTGGGAGGAACTGAAAAGGTTTGGTGACTCATCACTTATGCATTTACAGATACAGGAGAGGAGAGTATCTAAGATGCCTGAGTTTTGGGGTAACTGAACACAGTAGAATTTGGTGCCATTGGCTGAGACGTGGAAACTGGATGGCCAGTTTTCGGGGGAGAGGTCACAGGTTTGGTTTGGAGCCACTAAAGATGTCCATCACTTGGATGTGACATTCTGGAATCACTGGGTACTTCCATATACTAGGTAGTTTCTTTGAGTAGTCCTTTGATGTTTCATAATTCTATTTAAAACACAAATGTTAGGGGGTTTGTGGCTTTTGTTATCATCTAGCATATGACCAAAGAGAAAATGACTTAAAGGTTTAAAAATACACTTAATATCGTGTGGGAGAGCTCTCAGGTTTCACAACCATAAAGAATGAGTTTTGTTCTGTTTCGTTTGATTTCTTGTGTGCTTTTCATTTGCATTTCTGGGCAACATAATATAATTATGTTACTCTTTTCCCACGTGGGGTAGATCGCTGTGAATGACTCCCATTTGAACCACTACACACCCGATATTGTAGGTAAGGATAGGGATAAACACAGACAATCATAGCTAATGCACACCAGCCGCGTTATGGTGTTCTTTGCAGAGTAGAAGCAATTTTTGACCTCAAAGGTGCAATGATTTTTTAAGAGATATTTAAAGACAGTCACTCCTTGGCCTGTAGAATGTTCTACCTATCCTCAGTCACAGGTGTTTGGTGGTATGTTAAATATTTTATATAAAGCCAAATATGTAATATTAACGTGCTCTATAATCTGAGTTACTGACTTTATCAGGATTATTAATACTGTTGAATTTGTATTGCCAAAATAGTAACAGCTTTAAAATTAACCAAATCTTAGAGTTTATAGAAGATCCTTAAGTGAATTTTCAGTGGAGAATTTGACTAGCAAAGGGTTTGAGGTTTTCGCTCCCTGCTGTACTCATGCTTTAAATAAAGGCCCATTTATCTTTTCTTTTATTATTAACATGAGACTGGAAACGAACTTAAAAAGGGTATTTCCTGGAATAGAAAGGAATATTATTAAAAAGAAAACTGAAAAGATATTAAGTTTTTCTAATTTTAATGTTGACACTTTATTGTCCGTTTATGCTAGCATTATTTAAATATTTCCCACTCCGATCACAACTTTAAAATGAATGCATTTCCCGTATTTAACAAGTAACCTCTTTTCCTTCTTTTCTCAGGTCTCACATCTTTTGGGTGAACAGAAGTCTACCTTTATGGGGCCTACAGGTTATGTACACTTTTGTTTCATCCCTACATTTCTGGATTCGTCCCTCATTCCCAAAGGCGAACATCTTAGTCCAATGCTGTCTCTCCTTTCTTTGCGTTTGCGCCAGCTCTGGGTTCTGTGTTGAGGACTCCCTTGTGATCGGTTGACTCAGATTGCTGTGGGGGGTATGGAGAAGGCCCTAGTCCATCAGTGTTCTCGGGTCCCAGTTCCCTAACCCATTTCCCGTGTTCCTCTCACACAGTCTTTGAACAATGAATCCAAAGCCCATTTCTAGGTTTGCTTTTTAATCGGTGTCCTCAGCTGTGGGATCACGTGTACAACAGGGAACAGAGAGAATGTCGTCAGTCAGCTGTGGGATCACATGTACAACAGGGAACAGAGAGAATGTCGTCAGTCAGCTGTGGGATCGTATGTACAACAGGGAACAGAGAGAATGTCGTCAGTCAGCGGTGGTCAGTCAGCGGTGGGATCGCATGTACACAGGGAACAGAGAGGATGTCATCAGTCAGCGGTGGTCAGTCAGCGGTGGGATCGCACGTACAACAGGGAACAGAGAGGATGTCGTCAGTCAGCGGTGGTCAGTCAGCTGTGGGATCGCATGCACACAGGGAACAGAGAGAATGTCGTCAGTCAGCGGTGGGATCGCATGTACACAGGGAACAGAGGATGCGTCAGTCAGCGGTGGGATCGCATGCACACAGGGAAGAGAGAGAATGTCGTCAGTCAGCGGTGGGATCGCATGTACACAGGGAACAGAGGATGTCGTCAGTCAGCGGTGGGATCGCATGTACACAGGGAACAGAGAGAAGGATGGACGTGGTCCGGGAGGAGGCCGGTCTAACACCCCCAGCTGCAAGTGCGGAATGGTTATGAAGTTCATTCCGATAAGATGGGGAAGTGTCTTGAGGGGTTGACAGGGGTTATTTGTTTCGTGTTCAGAAACGTCGTTTGCACTGTGTTCGAGGTGGGTGGCAGGGTGGACCAGATCTTGTAACCAGATCTTGCGTTCCCTTCTGAGGGGACGGCTGCTTTCGGTGAACGCGCGGACGGCGCCGTGGGCTGCTGGCCGAGGGCGTTGCTGGTGGTGGGCAGTTGTGTGTGACTGTGTGTTGGGACCACACACACCACAGAACCACTCTTTCCGTACCGTGCAAACCCCCTGGTCTCACCAGTCTAGTCCCACACGTCCAGGTGCGATCACAAATGGAAAAGATGTATCGAGGAGGGTTAGAAACCACAAAAGCTGGGTTGTAGGTCCAGGGTCCACTGGCCACCTGTTTGTAAGAGTTCACGTGGCTTAGAAAACTCCCGTGTCATAGAGGTATCGACCACAGAAACATATACCTGCATATATGCATATATTTACACACGTATCAACTTTATAAAGTATAACAATCATAGAACGTATGTTTTCATTTTTCTTGCCTTTTCTCATTAAGGTACAATTTATATTTTAGGTGTTAGTGGCCTTGATAAGTCTGTCTGAAACCATGCTGCTCGGTTATCTCAGTTATAAGGTAAGTAACCCAACGAGACCCTTTCTGCCGACGCTGCTAACGCACCCAGCTTTCCTTCATAATTCACACTTTGAGGATAAAACAGGCTCTTCCCAAACCACTTTGATTGTTTTGGGCATCTCTAGTATGTGATAAAACAACAGCGTAGTTATACAGTAATGTTTTCCTTGGCAGCTCACAACGCGTCACCAATTCCTGCGGGTTAATTTGTCCGTCCTGGACCTGCTCATCCGAGCCAAGCACATGGAACGGTCTCGTTGTTCCGTTGTTTGTTGTTCTCAGCCTCTCTTCCTGATCTGTGCGAAATCACCGGGCGGTCAACAACATGTTTGTTAGGAATCACCTTAGTGAATTCTCCTAGCTGTTGGCAAAGCTTTGCTTGGTGAATACAATGTAACCAGAATCCCCTGAGCCTCTGCTCAGAAGGAACGTAAACTATGCCTGGTTCTCTTCTGAGTTGAAATCTGGGAACAGGGGCAGATAGGAACAAATTATACAGATAATAATAGAAGGCAGAATAATAGTTTGGGGGTTTTCTTATTTTTCAGTGAGGTGCAAAATAAAGTCGTATGGGGTGGTTTATAAAGAGAGGTCAGGTCATGGGATAAAAGAGCATACTTTTATGTGGTCTTGAATCAGCGATTTCACTAAGGCAAAAGGAAAAAGACAGGACAGAGGGTTTCTGGAATTAAGAAAGGCATATGGGAAGGTGCACAGATGAAACTGAAAGAGGATTAATGTTTAAGTGAGGCTGGAATATGGGGTATTTGGGGGAAAGGCGGTGCAGAGCGTTTGGGATGATACTGTGGGCACCGTGGGCAGCGACACGTCATGGGTTTGATGGGGGTGTTGCCCATGGGAGGTCCACAGCTGTAGCTGAGTTTCGGGACTGTTAGTCGAGAAGCCATGTGCAGCCAGGTCAGAGGGACACCCCACGGGAGGCCCCAGGCTAGGAGACTGGGGGAAAGGAACAGACGGATTTGATGCGAGATACATTCTAAAGGTAGAAATGAAGGAAATCAACTGGTTGGTGAAGGAAGTGAGTCCCCTGCGTATGGAGTGATAACAAGGGAGGGGCTTGGACTCTCTTGACGGGGCGCTGATGCTGCGGTTGCTGGAAGAAGAATAGGGACATGAGGGGAGATGCACAGAGACAAGGGGGGGCAGCATCCGCATGGGGGTATGTCCCCTCTTGCTTCTGGTTCAGTTTCCACACGTGCTCTATCAACAAGAGTCCTCAAGGCTGCGTTTGGGGGAACTCTTTACCCGGCAAATACATCTCTCTCTCACTTCGTAAAACATAGGGTTTTAAAGATAACATTCCTTTTTATTATTATTATTTTTTCTTTATTGATTTTAGAGAGACAGGAAGGGAGAGGGAGAGAGAGATAGAAATATCGATGAGAGAGAACGTCGACTGGCCGCCTCCTGCACGCCCCCCACTGGGGATCAGGCCCACAACCTGGGCATGTGCCCTGACCGGGAATCGAACTGCGACCTCTTGGTGCAGGGTCGACGCTCAACCACTGAGCAACATTTCTTTTTAATTCTCAATTTAGAGCAAGTTAAACCCCAAATGGATGTAAATGCTGTTAAAATGATCATACGTTTTATTTTTTAAGGATTTATGTCTGGTTCCCAGAGAACAGGGGCCTTTATCTGAAAACTGGCCTGGTTACGGGTTGTCCGCCTCTCGGCACTCGTCTGCTTTGCTCTCTGCTCACTGAGATGTTTCAGGCATGAGGACATAGTCTCTCCGTGTGAGCCAAGCCCTCTACTGGGACAATAAGCCCTTTAGGAAGCTTGGCGCCTGTAACACCTGCGTGCAGAGTGGTTTGTTCTCACGCCTCCCATTTCTTCTACCTGCCCCCCTACCCCCTTTATATTCCCTGGAGACAGGTGAGGAGCCAATGAGAACAAAGGTTGTCCCTTTTAGCACAGGGACACCAGCCAGCCTAGAGCCTTGTTTTGCAGTGTGCAGGAATTTTCCATCACTGCAATGCTTTAAGCCATTGGGACGGCAGAGACAATTAAGAAACATTCCCAAGCTTATAGCCAGTGTTTAAAAATAATTGGAAATTACAGGGAGCCAGATTTCAAACTGCTTTCCTAATGCACAGATCTCTTCGTGGAAGATGAGCTGCTTTGGGAAGTCCTGAGGTCTTTGCCACTGGGCACCCCTGGAGGAAGATTCAGGGATGAGCTAAGAGTATCGGGGGGGACTGCTGTGTCACCGGCTCTGCTGTGGGGGGCCCGTGTGTGGTGTGATGTTCTGCTGTCACTTTTGTGGGATTGTTTATAATTTGTTCACGACAAGCGGTGCATTTGGTCTTTGCCCTGGGCCCCGTGACTTAAGTGGCCAGTCCCGATTAATTTTGTTGTACTATGTGAGTTGGGAGATTAGAATGTAGATGATTGGAAAAACCCCTTCCTTTATGGTTTCTTAGGGGAAAAACAAGGTTAATACCAATGAGCATTGTTAACAAGTGCTGCGTTTAGGAATTATTCCATATGCTTTAGTGTGTGAATATACTTATTTCAGTAAGCACTATGATTGAGTCACTTTTTCGTGGACTCGGTAGGTTTGGGTAGTGTGTAATTTTACTGGTAACTTTTCTTCCATGAATTATTATTATATGATCAAACTGTGTTACGGGCAAGAGTCAGGGATCGCTGTAACATTCGTTTTGCTTCTTGAACTTGCTACAAGATTGAGAGAGGCCCAGCTGTGTTTAGAAAAATAATCTCTAAAGTTATTGCTGGTCCCTTTACGTTGAGTTAGCGTCCTGCCGTCCATCCTACGTGTCCTCCCTGCTGGAGAAGTCCCAAGTGCTGTCTTTACTTCTCTTGAATGGGATTCAGTGAAACTGACTTTTCTTTGCCTTTATGCTTTCTTGGAAGGGAAACATCTGGGAGCAGATTCTACGAATACCCTTCATCTTGGAGATAATCAACGCGGTTCCTTTCGTCATCTCAGTAAGTCCTAAAGGAATCTTTGGAAAAAAATAATAATTTGGTCATTAGACTTTAGTAAAGTCTGTCAATGGAAATGCTAGTAAATCCAACTTGAGCTCAGATCAATGAATTTGGGTTTTGGTTAGAATCATGGTATTAAAAATAAATAGGAGAGTCGGTTGGGTAGCGGGATCGTGACATTAAATGAGGAGTAATGAGATTTAATACAATAGCCAGATGAAGTGCTTCTTAGAAAAGTGCCATTTACACAAAGCGCAGTGTTGTCTACACGGGCTAGAAATCAGTCCATTGCTCATGTATATTGTGGAATTAAAAAATACAGAAAGCAAACAGAACCAGGTGTTTATACACGTTTCTCATACCGAGAATCTCTTTATCTCTCGTTTAAGCACAGGATGTATGAATTCTGTCTTTCATAAGAAAGTTGTCAACAGTGAGACAGCTAGAGATTTGCTTCCTTATCAAAGTCCGGCGCCCCCATTTCAAGAGACCCTGTTCGAGGGCATAATTCCATCGCAAAAGTCGGTGTTTAATTTCCATTCGATACAATTGTAATGATGTCGACTGGGGTTCTGCTTTCTAACACTCTGAGTTTTATTTGGACAATTATGAGAATAAGCAGATACCTAAATCCGTTGCTCACTTCTGAGAATTGTTTTAATCTGAGTGATTTACCTAGAGGAGCGCGTGGAGTTAGATGAAATGACTAAGTAAATCTAACTCCAATTAAACTCGGTTCCCCAATGTCGCCTAAGTGTTTGAAATCTGAGAGACTGGCGACGCTGTCAACAGTCTTTCTCTCCTCACTCCTGCTTTCGCTTCGAGTTGCAGAGAGGACAGAGGTGATGTCTGTTACAGACCGTCACTGAGCTAATGGTCGAATCGGCGTGCTGACATCTGACACCCAGTGCGAGCTGCTTCTGCAATGACTTTACCAAGAACTTTCCCCTCAGGGAGAATCAGACAGGGCGTGGACAGATCGTATCTGCTCCTTGCGTTTCATTAATGAGTTTAGTGTCTGTGTCACATGCTTTACGTCACTGTGTGGTCTTTACTCCCCTCCCCCTTCCCATTTTACATTTCGTTCTGATCTGCTGGATAGGACTCTTCGCTTTGAGATGAAAGTTTAGTTTTGATCTGTTTTTCAGATCTTCTGGCCTTCCTTAAGGAACCTATTCGTCCCAGTCTTTCTAAACTGCTGGCTGGCCAAACATGCCTTGGAGAACATGATCGTGAGTATCCCAGTGACATGCGGACACAGACATGTTTTCTATTAGATCTTTCTTCAGTGTTCAGACTACACGGAGAGGGGAGACGGCTCGGCGTCTTTGCCTCATGACCTTTCGATTCTGCATTTTTCCTCCATAAAATACAAATTCATTCATACCACTGGAACTTATTTAGTTGTAACTAAATATCTCAATGTTTATTGTTAAACGTCTCTTACATAATGTAGTCTCTTGGTAAATAGTCAGTTCTATTTAGCAGTAAAAATGAAAGAGTTTTGGGAAAATGCTATCCAATAATTCAAGGGATGCGATGTATAAGGATCTAAGCCGACAACCTTAAGTGCCAGGCTGCTTGTATCCTAATCAGACCAAAAACTGGCAAAATACCCACGCGGCCCGGTCACTTCTTTGTCAGGCACTATGAACTAGTTAACGAAGATGATTCAGATATTCTAAATATCACCAGAATAAAGCTCACTGCTCTTTGGTCTGGTCCAATGAGTGTGTCCATCTTCTGAAGACAAATGAGCTTTCTAGGTGTTCTGTTCATGCGTACTGGGACCCTTGGTTTTAAGGATTCTGGGGGTCGTGGCATCATATTTCCTAAAAATCTCATATTTCCTCCAAATCTGTGGGGTTTCAAAAGGCACTGTAGTGGAGTTGGGATCCCCTCACTTAAAGTCATCTCTTTAGGTTTGGTTGGGCCGGACTGGGAACGGATTATAGGGGCACACGGAGGAGGACAAAAAAGATGCACAGTTCAGAGTGTGCCCTCGCTTCGTGGCCCAAGGCTGACCCTGTTTGGAAGGACTGATTCATAAGCATGACCAAATATGTTTACAGTAGGGATCCACTGCTTGTCTGTGATCTGGCTGTGACACATTTGCTATCTAGTCATTCATTCTGTAAACGTCAACACAAGTTTTCTGCTGCCTTGGATGGGATGGCCAAGACATTTTGTTTCTTTTCTCATTTCTTCACCTTCAAAAGAGAATAAAAGTGCTTACATGACAAGCTGGTTGTGAGAATTAAATGAAATTATGTATACATACATAAATATGTGTGTGTGTATATATATATATATATTTGCATACACATTGTAAGGGCTCAATATTATCAATGTTACTACACTGAAATTAAATTTTTCTGGAGGCAAACTTGTTTTTCTTTTAAATGGTTTTCAAACAGAAATGATGACCACAGTTTTGGCCTGAAGGAATATTTGGATAACATTTGAGAGTCTGTAACCGGATGAATGTTTCTAAACATCCATGTTCATGAGCTGGAGCCTCATGAAAGTTCGTGGCCAAAGCGTGGGTGAGAGTGGTCCGTGGGGCGGTTTGAAGAAACACTGGGCTGTTGTAACTGTTCTAAAAACAAAACAAAACAAAAAACAAACCTATTTCACTAAAAAGACATAGCCTAAATTGCTAATGAAAAAAATAAAAGCACCAGGGACAAATAAACCTCTGATACACTGTGTCGTGAGTTGTCGGATACAATAGCCTGACCAAGAGAGCAATGGTTAGTAGTCCTGGGGAAGACCTGGAGGGCTTGCAGTCTCCGGTTAGGGTCCGTTTTCCATTGTATTTCTATAGTCTGTTTCTCTTCCTCTCACTGGTTGCTCAATTTTTATTTGTTTTTCTGCTCAGAAGAAAAAGTAAGGGTTGAAAGGTGAAATTCGATTCAACTTAGTTTTTTGTTTTTATAACAGTTCTGGTTAAGTGTGTGGTGGAGGAAGAGAAAATAATGGCTCTTTGGGATTATATTGGTGAAGTTATCTCCTGCTCCACTGATTTTTAAGACTATTAACCACTTGGTATAAAAAAATTAAGATGAGCTGGACTCTAGAAAGTAAAAAATTATGAAAATCTATAAATCTACCATACCGACTAAATACCAGTACTAATTTATATCTTAATATTTTCTATGAACACACACAAACATATCAGACATTAAATGATGCTGTATGTTCAATTTTATAATTTGAATTTTTATCATTTACTAGCATGTAGTGGACAAGTTCCTATGTCATTAAATATTCCTCTTCGAATCAATTTTAATGGGTGCATCTAAGTCTATTCTATAGTTTTGATCAATTTATGTAATTGTGTTTGTATTGCATGTTTTAGTTTTTTGATAGTAATGAACATTTATTATTTCACATACTAAATATAATTTTATAACAGAGATTAAACAAATGTTGATTTCCATCTCTGATAATTTTCATGCCATTTAAACATTTTTTGCTATTGAGTAAATACTTTTTAAATGCATGCATGCAGTACATAGGGTGTACTTGTGAACTATGACCCATATTACCAAATTCCCTTCAAGAAATTTATAACAAAGAACAGGAGCAATATCATTTGCGAATGCTCTTTTTTTTGCATCTTAAACAACACTGAGTATTATTATTTTTAATGTCTTTCAATTGCAAAGATAAAAATATATATCTTGAATTCGCATTTCCTTTACTACTAATGAAATTAAACTTAAAACTATTTGCTCCCTGGCTATTCAATTTTTTTTTTTTTTAAATGATCCATAGCCTGGCATGCTTTATGTGATTTTTCCTGATTCATATAATAAGATTTGATAGTAGTTTGTCCCAGCTTCTACTCCTCCCCTCACTGAATAGATCATTTTCTGATCTTTTAAAATTAGAATGGTCCATAAGAGATGATACTCCTAGAGGGCTGTTGGGGAGTCAGTCTCTAGAGATGTTTGTAAAGTGAGTAAACTGAAATTTGGGGCTTTGCTGGCTCTTCCACAGTATTTTTGCAACATGAATGGCATATAAGGTTTATTTTGACTGAGGCAAAACCAAAATTTTGCTTCTGTATCCATTGAAAGAATACGTATTGCGTGTGCACAAAATGGTTGAAATGTAATACATAATAACACATGCAATGAAGCTCGTGAATATTTAATATTTATCAAAATTTAAAATATGCTTTTCTGTCTTATTTTAGAACGATCTCCATAGAGCTATTCAGCGTACACAGTCTGCGATGTTTAATCAAGTTTTGATTTTAATATCTACATTACTCTGCCTTATCTTCACCTGGTAAGATTGTCCATATCAGCATTTTTATTATGTTCTATTTAACTATAGTTTCTAAAAAAAACAACAACTTACGGTAAGCCATTTTAATTAATAGATAAAAGTCATCAGTCAATCGATCATTCAATCAGTGGTCACTATGAAATGTAATGGATCACTTACAGAAATAGAAGTTAAACCCTTCCTTTGGTCCTACAGAAAAAAGCAAAAAAGCACACTCTCATTCAGTGTTGATATTTACTGCAACACTGGTCTTTTCCAAACTCTGTGAACAATCCTACCAAGAGTTTGTCCTGCACGTTGTAGCTGTCAAACAAGAATGTTTCCTTCAAACTGTGGACATGGGTGCCCTTATTTTTCTACAGTCTCCACAGCAGAAGGACTGTGGAGAAACTGTCGTTGCCCATCAGTGTCTGCCTGACCCTTCGCTCCGCGGTGTGCAATCAGGCAGAAAGCAAGGGCAGGTCTCAAGGCACTTTGCTTTGCTACAGAAAGCAGTTAGTCCTTCTTTTGGAAGGTCCCACTTTGGCCATTAAAATGCCAACCAATGTGAAATGGGACGCCACCCATACGGATCCCTGCGGATCCTCCACTAGAGAAAGGAACTTGAGAACCAAACAAGAAGGCAGAAGGATGCGTGTGTTTTGCAGGAGACTGAGATACCATGTGTAATTGTGCTCTGACCTGGATCTGGCCTATGGAGAAAGATAATAAGCTAATTAGCAAGCACTCAATAAGAAGAACGTATTCAGACTCTAGTGCAACAGAACTAGATGTAACTGGAGTTATAGGTACATTAGTTCAGTGCAGTCATACGCTGTTTGCAACAGAATGCGGTCTGAGAAATATGTCCTTGGGTGTCCTTGGGTGATTTCATCATGGTGTGAATATCACAGGAGTCACAGAAACACACCACTGTGATTGTATGTGCTGTGTGTGATCAGTAACACACCTGTGATGTTAACATGGCTAGAACATCATTAGGCAATAGGAGTTTCCAGCTCCATTATAATCAATTTTTTTTAAACGTTTTCCCCCTTGATTGATTTAGAAAGAGAAGAAGTGAGAGGGAGAGGGAGATAGAAATGTCGATGAGAGAGAACATAGATTGGCCACCTCCTGCATGCCCCCCACTGGGGATCAGGCCCACAACCTGGGCATGTGTCCTGACTGGGAATCGTACCTGTGATCTCTTGGTGCATAGGCCGACAATCAACCACTGAGCCACACTGGCTGGACTCCATTATAATCTTTTGGGGCCACCGACATACATTTGGCTTATAGTTGACCAAAACATCGTTATGGGGAACGTGATTGTATAGACTTAGATATGTAGGTATGCTAACCCGTCTGCATCAGTAGTAGGTAATATCTATTTGTGGTTGAAATATATTTTATGGTATGCTTTAAAAAAAACATTTTAGGATATTTAATGCCTTTAAACATAAACCATCCCTCTGAAATTGTCACAATGCCATTTTATTAAAGATGGTTTCTGTCTTCACATACTGTTTTTAATTGCTCACCTAGTAAATAGCTAACTTCAGAAATGTGAAATAGTAACAGAAATGACTTCCTTTCTAAAGTCACTAAACATTCTTAATTGTAAGGTAATGACAGTATTTGAATAATTTAGAAGTTTTTGTCATTTTACTTAAGGAAAAGTACTTAAAATTAAAAATTTTATATACATGTTCACACACCAAAGTTTAAATTGCTGGAAAATTATAAAAGAGAAAACGAATGATGTCTAAATATTATGGAAAGTCTGTTCAGGTCAACTTAGTAAAAATATTATTGTTAAAATACTGCCAAATTATTTTTAATTTTTAAATTTTTTTCTTTATTGATTTTTTAGAGAGAGAAAGAGAGGAAAGGAGAGGGAGAGAGAGAGAGATAGAAACATCGATGAGAGAGAACATCACTTGGCCGCCTCCTGCATGCCCCCCACTGGGGATCAAGCCCACAACCTGGGCATGTGTCCTGACCGGGAATTGAACCGGTGACCTCTTGGTGCAGGGTTGACGCTCAACCACGGAGCCATGCCGGCCGGGTCCAAAGTATTTTTCTATGATAACACTTAGCTCAGTTTGTGTGGTTCTGTAGGCCTCCTTGCCACAGTAAATCACCACAGCGGGCTCTCTGCCCTCATGTTCTGCATCTATCTCATGAGTAGTTTCCATTTTTGATGGAAGCAGCTATGTGCCTGGAAATGTTCCCAATAGCTCGTATGAAAAAACATCTTCCTCCTATGTAATGTAATGTATTTGGGATTTCTGTACTTCTTACATATATTTTTATATTTGTTTCCACCAGTTAGCCTCACTCGGTTAAAGATAATAGTACCATCTCTCTCTCTCTCTCTCTCTCTCTCTCTCTCTCTCTCTCTCCCCCTCTCTCCCTCCCTCCCCCCTTTCAGTACACTGAATACTTTTAATGTTATAAAAACAGCATTGCAACCTGTCCAGGGCTCCAGTCTCACTGGGCGGGGTAAATTTCTTCGTATAAGCTTAGAATAAAATAACAAGTGGAAACCAGGGACGTGGTCTGCAGGGAACAATTTTAAGCAGCTGGCAGTGATTTCTTTTTCAGTAGGAAAGTAAAAATTATTCTTTTAGACTATTCCATAGTTCTCCTATGAATGAGGATATTTTTGCCTCCTCTCTGAATACGGAGACAAACAGTATGTCAGAAATTGCCACTCTTTATTCTAGCTGACCTATAAATGGAGGATATTTCAGATATACGTATATGTATATTTTGTATATATTTATATGTGTATAATCTCGAACAGTGTACACTATATAAATACATCTATATAAATATACATGTATTTATTTTACACTGTGGTGATTTGAGCCATAATTAATTGCTATTATGGAGCAAAACCATTAGTGCTTTTCAGAGTCAGAACTTTTAATATGTGCGCTGTCATGGAAGTCCCCCAAAGATTCAGGAACTAAAATTCGATGCATTGACAATGTTGCCCACAAATCTCACAGTCTTAAAATTACCTGCTTTGGAAAGCTGGGTATCCTGTTACAATGTGTCTCCCCTTCATCGTTATTAACATCACAAAGAACCGTCATTAAGCATCTGTCTGCAGAGACCCGCGCTGGGTGCCCAACTGAAGGAAAACAGCCTCTGCCCTGCTCACTACGGGACGTGCGCTCGGAATAGTTCCCGCCACTGCCATGGGACTGGACACGTCTGCTGTGTGCCCCTCCTGGCCAACGACACGCACTTCCCCAGCAGCTGGGACTTGGGATTCAGCCCCTGTCTCGGTAACAAAGCCACTAAACAGCTCCATCCGGGACTGAAGTGCATGACTTTAGCTTCATTAGTAACACATTCTGACCGACAGTGAGTTCTCGACTTGGTCATGCACTGGTGTTCTCATTTTACACTTGCAGACTCATTCTGCACCCACGTTGCTTCAAACTTTAGTTTTTTTATTCGACTATGTAGGTTGATATCTTTTTATATTGTTTCCTCAAGGTATAACATAGAGCGATTGGATAGGCTAATGGCTATTTCATGTTTTAGTCGAATGTGAAACAATTCCCTTCCTCAGTCTTATCTCAGGAGAAAATAAGGTCATTTATGTTTTGTTTAAAAAGGTGACTTTGTTAGACATCATTATTATTATTATTTTTTAATCCTCTCCCGAGGATATTTTTACATTTATCTTCAGACAGAGTGGGAGGGAGAGAGGGAGAAACATTGATGTGAGAGAGACACGTCGATTGGTTGCCACCCACACAACCGCAGCCGGGGCCAGGGACGAACTGCAACCGAGGTACGTGCCCTTGGATGGAATCGAACCCTGGACTCTTTGGTCCTTGGGTTGATGCTGTAACTGCTGAGCCAAACCGGCCAGGGCTATTAGACATTATTAATGTGCTTAATTGGAAGTATCTGGGTCGTTGTGCACCTGTGATTGACATTTAATTGAGCGGGTATTTAGGCTCTTATATTTAGGTTCCAGGGGAAGAACCACAGCTGCTCGGTTAGTGGACCGAGCGGACCGTCAGTGACTTCACAGTCACAACCGTTTTTGCACAGACACAAAGACAATACCCAGGAGGCCGAGAACTTACTTTCAGCAATAGAAATACAAGATTGATCATTACTTCCAAAACACAGTGTCTCCCTAGAAAATCTGAAATCTCAACATGTCAAATGATTTTAGATTCCATGAGAATCTCAGGCTTTAGGCAGATACTCTTCAGGAAAATGATCGTTTGGAACAATTTAATTGGTGTTCACTCAGTAAGTCCCAGCGTGCAAGGTGTGGGCTGATTCGGAGGCTAACGTCGGAGCTGGAAACCGGAAGTGACCATTGCTCATTACATTTCCCAGTGACTATGCGCAGCCCTGGGAGTCGTGGGGTGGGCGCGGATATTTAAAGTCATCTGTTCCTGCCATGTGACCTCTTCTCCAAAAACATTTTGTTGTACAAATTGACATTTACCAGGTGGTGAAAATTTTCCAGCCCCAATATTGCCTTCCATTCAAATTAATGTTTTCTTTAGAAACCTTGCCAAAGCTTGAAAAGCTTGTCTAACTGAATATATTTTACAAGGAGGAATTTTTAAAAAGCACAGAGTAAGTGATTAGTAATGGAGGTGCTTTGTTAGGATATGCAGAATCTATCTGAGTAAGCAAATCAATGATGACTCTTCCGTCCTTTTAAAGACAGCATCCTGAGGGTCTGTGTTTTAAATCCTAATGAAATGCTGTGCAGAAGCTGTTTGAGAATGACATAGCACTGAGATCATTTCGTATGGCTTTGTGTCAAAGACAACACTTAAGAATGTTTTATAAAGGACGAAACCTCACAGCAGATGCCTGGAGCCAACATTCTTCAAACAGAACCTGTATTTTTCGAAAAGAAAGTTGTGCTAACATTGAAGCTGTAAAAACACTTTTTTTAAATCCTCACCCAAGGATATGTTGATTTTAGAGCAAGAAGAAGGGGGGGAGAGGGAGAGAGAGAGAAA